CGCGCCAAAGCGAATACAAATTCTTGAACTTTAAATCAAATGAACCAAAATTAGAATAATACTAACTCGACTGTGTCATATGGTACGAATGCCTCGACGTCAAATGAATTTTGGCACGAATCGTAATAGGATGGTGATTCAGACTAGATCTCATACGAACAGTGCTCGAACACAGGCAAAGTCACCGACGATTAAACTTCAAGTTCATGCAGTCCACGAATGACAAATGTTGGTACATCGATGGATCAAACGGCGTGATGGGCCAGATCCCATAAAACAGATTGTGTGGACCACATTCTTTGTTTGTCCAACACTAACTATACAACTTGTTTAGCTTTATACCTCCTTCCAGTTCTGTTGTATCAGAACTGGGGGCACTTGATAGGTCAGGGAGGTTAAAAGCCTACTGTCTATGATTATAAATGTCACCTCACGTAATTCAACGGCCTGCTGAAAGCGAGCATTACGCAGTGAGGCATGTCAATTAAGCTGAGCCCTCCACAAAAATGTGTGTTCATGGACGGGCGATTCTCGTAACAGTGGTAGTACTAGTTGTGCCGACTACTTCGACGTAGTAATTCTTTTCTCGAAGAGAAGAGAAGAGGTTTTGCCTGGAGCGAGCATCACAGGAATCGTTCGCATAGCGGGTACAGAAGTGCCTCCTTTTTTAGCACGAAGTCTAATGCGGTGCGTATCCATTGAGATTTTTTGAGGTAACAAGAAGCGAGCTCAGACTGCTTTCCGTTCGTCAAGCCCAGCTTGTATAGTGGCCGAAGGCCCGGCCATGTAGACACCCAAAGGTCGAGTGATCGCGTCCTTCGCTTCTGTAGCGGATTCGCCGAGCGGGAGCCGTATTCCACACGAGGGTCGAAGACCGACCGTGGATGCAAGCGCATGAGAGCCGCCCTGCGGGCAGTATCCAGCTGCTGCTTCTATGCCTCGTCGCTGCAGATGATGATAAGATCTTTGAGCGATGGGTGTCGCGACAGCAAAAACTTTACTCGCTGCAAAGCTTGAATTTGAGTCACAGGGAGGTGGACGCGCGTGTGGAAGGCCATCTTCGGTCTGATTTTGTCAAACTCAAGGCGCATCGCCGACTTCCTTCGGATTATCGCCTGTGACGTATGAATTGATCCATCACGCTTTCGCGTGCTCTGTGGTCTCTCACACGGGTGAGTCTTCTACCGCAGCAGCTCGGGCCATTGTTTAAGTTCAGCTCATGGCTCTTCGGCTTCTCCGGATATTGCCGAGACGCGCGGGGCTACGACGACGCGGAAATTTATGATCATTTTGACCATAAGCGTCCGCGACGTCTGGGCAGTCTTGCCGAGGTGACACCTCAAAATCCACGAGTTCTCAAAGTCGGGGTATACTGCCACTCACGACATATTGGATTTGACCCTGACAACTACGTCGACCCACAGTACGCTCCACGTGATAGTGGCACCACCATTCTCGTCGAGAAGAGTCGATGGCGGACGATGACGACTTGGTCCTCGAATGCCTGGGGCACTTTGTGCACCGACTGCCTTGCGTTGGGGATTGTCGTGCTCTGTCGGGGCGGTACATAGCCTTCGAGCAAGCGATTACGTCACTTCGTGCGACAGTGGAGCACCTTGCGCCGTTGGAAACGGAAATCGCTGCACTCCGTGCTCAGAACCAGTTGCTGGTTCAACTTTCGGGTGGCCGAGCGCCTTTGAGCGCCGCCTCAGCGCCAACGCTTCCGCGTTCACTTGCGCCGGGATTCGGTACGGCTTAAGCAAATCCACATAAAACACCGGGTGGGTGTGCATCCTTCATGCAAGGTTTAGCGTATATGAAGGCCTCGCTTGGTCACGATCTCAACAGTTACAATAAATCGTGGACGGTGCATCGACTTAACGACCGCAGAAGCTGCATGTGTAGAAAGGTTCCTAGCATTTAAAAAACAGGTCTTTAACCTCAATATCTTCTTCCTCTTCCGTCTACATATTTCTTCTGCATGTCATCGTATTCAGCTATAGCATCGCAAACGTGTCGTAAAACAGTCAGTCCGGTAGACAGGATGTCATTGACTTCTTTACGGACAGTGACGAAACCGACATCAGCTAGTCGTTCGGCTATTCCTCTCCCACAAGCCCTGAGTCATGGGATGGCGGCGTCATCGGGACGCGAGAATTAACAAGCCCGTTCACGTAGAACGGCATGTAGCTGCATTGCTCAGAGCAAACTCTACGAGTCGAAACATAGCGCTCCAGCGCTTCGGCGTCTCAGCGCAGACTGCAGACTGCGAAGAATGTCTTTAACGTCGCAATTCACGCGCTCAGTCTGACCATCGGTCTGCGAATGGTCCGCTGTTGACATAGTCAACTTGGAGTGCAGCGCTCTGAAGATTGCAGACCAAAACTTCCCAGTAAAGCGCGGGTCTCTATCAGAGACAACTGATTCCGGGAGTCCATGTTGCTGTACCCACACCGTCGATGGTGTCCGGCACTGCCGCAAGATAATCAATCTTGCTCAAACGGTCCACAAAGACCACCACACCCGTGTTGTCCGCCAAGTCCATCGGCAAGCCAAACAAAAAGTCCATACTCATGGACTGCCAACGCCCGGAGGGTACCGGTGAAGTGGCCAGCGGTGCTGTCGCATTTGGATAGGGCTCATCCTCTGACACGTCTCACGCGTGAGCACGTCCACTTGTACAGCTTGGGCCATCAATAGTGACAACTCACAGAGCTGAAGGTCTTTTCACGATCAACCAGACGACTGAGTGAGGCTCGTTGCCCTCATAGTGGATACGGTGTTTTAAATTCCCATCGTGACGAATCACACTCACACTTCGTGGCGTATCCGCTGAATCGGTGCTATAATACAGCAACCCGTTACTCAACAAATGTCGGAGTATACGTGCGCGCAAGCGTGCTGACAATTTATCATCCGATGTTCCACTCTTGCCTCGCGAGTTTATTTTATTGTTGGGTATTATGTACTAAGTAGTACTAACGATGAGGTCTCAAGGTTGGGAAGCCCGAATCTTTTACCTCGCTTCATCGGTCCATTCCGAATAGTGTCGTGCCATGAGAATGGGTTCACTTTCGACCTGCCAAGCTGGTCAAGGACACATCCAACGTCTTACGTAGAACTCCTCAAGCCATATCATCGCGACGACGCGATCTCCAACCTGAATGTAACACAAGGACATACGAAGGTGGCTTTTGAGCCACTGCTTCGGCACAAGGGTCAAAGGTTAAACTCCTTTGTGTCATCGCCTCCGCATCGTCCTCAAAATCACGAGAATAATCCGTATCGTCCGAAACAGAGCGATATCGCTTGGTAGGAGGCTCTGCATTATCAGCGAAAACAGCCGCAATAGACGGAAGAGCTGTCAGAGCCTGCTCCAATCGATGAATCCAATTCTTGATTGCGTTCCAGGCGTATTTCCATGACGTCATGCAAGTCGCGAACTTTGCAAATGGCCTGTTGGTTATGCTTCACGCGCTGTCGCGTCGACGACACCTGATCGCTCACCTCGATCAGCCGCTGGTTGATCAGCGAGAGGCGCTTCTCCAAACGCAATTCCAAAACTGACGAAGATTGTGAACCAGCCACAGAAGAAGCAGAGGGAACGCCCTTTCCGGGCACACACTCCTCTTCTTGATCGACATAACATTCGATACTACCACGTCGAGAACGTGGTGACGGAGAGGACCTCCGCGGTCGGAAGGAGCTCTTGGTGAAATGGCTGGGGTATCCAGCGAACAAGATTACGTCGGAGCTTCGTACGCGTATTCTTCGCGACTGTCCCAGTATCGCTCGCGCGTTTGATGCGGATCCGAAGACGTCCTTTGCTGAGGAATGCTACCCCTTCGTCTTCTCCTTCTGTCCCCTCGTCGTGAATCGGACTGGTGGCTGCGCGTACTTTACGAGCACCCTCAATTTTGGAGTGAGTTCGATTTCGCGCTGCTAAATGCGCAAATCGAAAGCACATAAAGCGTATCTTAAACAAGCTTGCAGCGGTGGTCGCGCTTTGGAAATGGTGGATATCCACGGATTCGGTCGCATGGATCCATGCCCAGAATCGATTGCCGATTGTCAGGATAAAATCCAGATTGAACTGCTGGACGTATGGTATATACGTGAGGCTTCGTGGTTCACCTCCAGCTCTACTACTGATCAGTCCGATCGCGCAAAAATACGCGATTTGAGTCATCAGTCGAGCACCCATTCGACTAAAGAGTTCTTCGAACTCTAACGTATAACCACCACGTCTATCGTGAAAGTCGTCATGACGGTCAATTTCACGATAGCGCAAATGCGCTCAATGGCTTGCTATTGGAAAATTGTTCAAGTTCGATGGTGCAAATCAAGCGTGTGGCTGTCATTTTGGGGAGAGTTGGACAGAGCGTGCCAAAGAGCGGTAGAAAATTTTGAAGAAGAGTTGAAGAAATTTCGAAGATTTTGGGTAAACCCACTTATGAGAGGGGGGTTACAGGTTCCATTATACACCTTGTGTATTTCAAATACTTTTTGTGTCTCACATTAGCTGTACACCCTGTATAGATGTATACATCCTTTCAGTTCTGTTGTTTCAAAACTGGAGGCACTTATCAGCTTAGTGGGGTTAGAAGCTTATTGGCTACATTAATGGATGTTACTTCAACTTTCCTCCTCTTTACGGAAGTCAACGGCCCGCTGAAAGTGATTAACACAACACGGGGTAAGCCGTGTCAGTTGACCTAAGCATATTTCAGTAACTGTGTGTACCCGGACGAACAATTTGTAACGGGGTTTTAGGTGCCCTGGTATGAAGGGTATGGGTCACACAAGATGTTGTGACCACGCAATGGTGTGGCTACACTTAAACAAGAATTCAAAACGCGGCTGGACTGCCAATAGTTATACGTTTTGCAACGGGCTGCCGTAGCTCTTTGCTTAGAGAAAGCTAAGCTAAGGTCACCGATCTTACGTTCTCTACAAGATCCAGTACGAGTGAAGCAGATCGCAATCCGCTACCTCCCAGAGTACTTAAGACCTTAAACAAGGTAAATACACTCTTCCGTTCACAATTAAAAATGTTGTTAATTGTTTTATTTGTGGCAGAGCCGCCAATATCTAAAACCTTAGGTTCTTCCAATCAAATGGTAGAACCGAATTTATATGCGTAATTACTGGCAGTTCTACCACGTAGTTGCTTCTTTAAACGGTGTTGCCACACCATTGTGCGATTACACCAATGTCTGTAACCACACCTTGTTACGGTCACACTATCATGCGTGACTCACCCTTCATACAAGAGTACGTATAGGGTTTACTATATAGATAGGGTTACCTATAGATTCAGATTGAGGCGGCTTTACCACAAATAAAAACGAGAAAACAGTTTACGTTCTAAACGGCAGTGCAGCCTTAGGTTTAGGCTTATACTAATTGAATTGCAATCCGCTACATTCGTACTGGTGTTAAGTATTGAACGAAGCTCACCGACCTTAAACAAGCTTTTTCTAAGCGAAAGTGCTATGACAGCCCTGCTGCACAATAGGACGGCTATCGTCTGGAACGCTTATTGAAGCTTTTCGGTTTGGTAAAGTACATTGACTTTCACTCAAACGCTAATCGCGCGACTGCTTGCCGCGGTGGCGCTGTCGCCGGCTGGTCGAAAACTATGCTGGACCGTGTTGTTCTGTGTTTCTTCTATTGTTATCATGTATGACTAAGTCTTGTGGTAGAAACTTGGCCAAATTTATTCCTCATGGAGATCTCGTTATGTGACCAAGTGGCAACGCCCTCGATTTTGGCATCAGACGTAAGGCCGTCTTTTTCATCAGACAAGGACTCTTCATCATCGAACTGATTCCTTTGTTGATAATTCGATATTTTAAATAATTTGTCGGCTGACCTAAAATGATATCGGGTCGCTAATGTTTTCAGCCTGTAAAAATGTGTCATGTAACATAAAACGAGTAGTCTCCATATGAACGATAGCAAAGCTTCAAGTCGGCATCTTCTATACCACATTCAATCACGAGAATGTCAACGAACTTTATATCACAAATCAGCATAAGAAGAAGCATCTCACTAATAATTATAAGTATGAGTTGTATCTTACAACAGTAGTAACATTGTGCAGTCTAAACAAAGACATTAATATATATCATGGACATCTAATAATTACAATCATGTCACTTTACCGTAAAGGAGGGATCGCGGCATACGACAATCACCGTCGATCTGCCTTCATAATGTCTCTTGCTTAAAGTATTCAAAAGGCGCAGTTTGTAACGGATCATACATCTGTCCAGCTGTCGTCCAGATAGTACAATCGAACGAAATCTCCATCGTAACTGCGCAACAGGTTATTTCGACTTTTGCCAGCTTTTGCAACGTTACAAGAATGAAGGTCTATCTTGTTACATTTGCCATTGTTGTGGCCTTGACATCGACCAACACTCATGCACAAACACTCGGTGAAAGCGTCGTCGCTGGTAACGAAGGCATGTTCCCAGATGACGCCACTGGGCAAGATGTGATGCCAGATAACGATACTACTGATACTACCGATACTGCGTCTTCCTCCTCACCGAGTGACTCGTCAACTAATCCGTCGACAGAATCCTTAGACTCGAACGCTTCGTCGTCAAAACCTGATAATGCCGAGACTCCCGATACCAGTGCAAGTGCCAGTACTAGTTCTAGCTCTAGTTCTAGTTCTAGCTCTGATTCCAACGCCAATGGATCTTCAGCTCCAGAAAGCAGTGACGCAACCCGCGCGGTTTTAGCAGTTGGTGCCACAGCACTCGCAATTGTTTTGTCATCGATTTTTTAAGAAATAATTCTTAATTTTTTCATTTTCTTTATAGCAATATTCTAAATGAAAAAAACTTTTATTTAGTATATCACAGAAAGAAATCCAACAATTTAGCCGCTAAAATCGAATGAGCCACAACGATTGAGACGAAATAAATCGTCGTCGTCCATTGTTTCGACAAACTCGACTTGTGGTGTGACAGAGCTCACATTCGACATAGTGTCATCGTCGTCACGCTTTTGCTTTGTTTTTGCTTTTTCTTGTGCTTCCTTGTCTACCATTTGTGAAATCACGTCCGCTAATTCTTTATCAAGTGGAGCTGTGGACGCACGCAAAGCAATTTCAATTAATCGACCGTGTCGTTTTTCTTCATATTTGAACTTGTTTTTTAATTCCCGTCGCTTTCGGGTTGGAAAGAGAGTTGCCATCATAGAAAAATTTGGACCAACTTGGCTGAGGCAATAATAAAAATGCTTCGTCTCTTCCTTACTCCAGCGTTTTCCCGGACCCTGTGGATGGGACGAACGATTGTGCAAATCTGTCTGTCGAAACGACAGTCGCGGATCATTCACGTTTAAATTGTCACCCAATGCGATTCTATTTTCCACCACAACCATTTGGCCATCAATAATTTGCACTTGGGGTGTCACAATTGATCCAGCAAAAGCTGCTGCTTCAGATGATACAGAAAGTGTACGCATGCGATTTTGTGCATTCGAAGGATGTGTCCCGCTTGAAGTGTTTGATTCATTTTCTTCACGCTCGTGAAGCTTTACGCGCCCCCCTTTAGGCACAGTTAGCGCCAACTCACCCATTGTCATTTGAGATGGTTCTTTTTGTAATAGTTCCACCATTTTGCTGCGAGAGAGAACTCCACCACCGATAGCAGTGAGAAGCGTTGGGATAGGAGATGCATTCGAATTGCTGCGTCTTTTACGACTTTTTGTCGGTCTCTGTTTCAATTCATCCTTACCTTGAAGTAGCGACTTGGCCCACAAAGTTGCTCGTTCACGCGCAGGGACATACATCTGTATGGACAATCCCAAAAACAAGACATTCGATCAGCATCTCTACTTTTTCGAAAAGAAGCACATTAATCCCAATAACAACATACGTTCGTCTCCTCTTTTGGTAACTCAAGGTGTTTTGGATCTTCGTTGCATGCATCTTCTGACTCACTATTTGAACTCTTGATGTTCTCCGTCTTACCACAATTCGAGCGTGTTATCCGTTTCCTGGATGAACGGCGCGGCGAAGTGTCGATAGGCAAACCAGCAGTTGATACGTCGGGTCTATGGCGCTTGGACGATACTGACCGCTTCTTCGTGGTAACCTTAGTACTAGGCGACTGTTTTGTACTTGAAGACTGATGATTCAATTGGATATCAGGAACTGAGCTGAGATTTAAAGCCAATTTCCCACCCAGTAATAGTGGAGACGCTGGATTGAGCGATTGATGCGATTGTCGTAGCATTCGTCGAGATGATTGATGTGGCTTAATGTCCAAAGTCCGTAACCTTCGTTGTTTTATTGTATCCGAGATTGGTGAGCTGCCAATACTTGTGCCACGTGGACGGATTCCTGAAATGCTGCCAATGCTTCCAGCACGTGGACGCACGACGGGACTTGCACGGTATAGTGGTCCAGCTGAATCAATCTTTACTAGTCTCTCGGAATGCTGCACTGGAAGCACAATGGGCGAGCGCACTGGTGGTGGTAAATGTGAACTGGATGTTTTTAGCCTATTTGGTGAAGTTGTCAATTGTGTACTATTAACGGCTGTCGTATCTTTTGATTCGTCTTGATTTGAAGATGGAGCCACATTGACAATTCTAGTGGCTTTCGCTGTATTTGTCTTGGATATAGAAGTCGTTAATTCTGCCGTAGTTTTGGCTTCAGCTAAGGAATTTGAATTAGAGATGGTAGAGGCGTTAATAACTGAAGCTGTAGGTGTTGGATCCTTAAAAGATAGAGCTTTTCCGGATCTTGGACTCAATTTCTCATCTTGGCTTGCTAAGAATTTGGTAGTAGTCTTAAAAGTTTGTAATCAGCAATATATTGTTAGTCATTCTTTTATAAACATCCAAGATTGCTGTTAAGAACAGCTAATACATTCTCACCTCGGCAGGTTTTCGAACTTCAGTTACATCAGAACGATTCACTCGAGGCGCTGAGAACATAGAAACAGATGAGAATTTCTGATATGTAAGAAAGAAAATCATACCATTTAATGGCTTTGCGCGCGGGGTGACGGTTCCTCGCGATGGCTTGCGTGACTTTCCTGTGACCAATAGAGGCACTCGTGAAGCCATGTCGACTCTTAACGAGAACAACACTAGAAATGTATGGTTATAATGATTGTGTCTGATAATTGGACGAAATTATCAAAAAGTAGCCTATCAATTAACTGTCACACTGACTATAGATTGGTGATAAATCACCTCCACTCAAGAAGAGGAAGCAAGGAGTTCTGCAAACTTTACAACAACTTCCCCTTTATACCATTTTCTCATCTTAACGTGAATTATGTCCGATCCTGTGGCTCGTGCACGCGAAATAGCAGCACGTTTGGCAGCTACAGCCATACCAGGTGGTGATGTATTGGGCAAACGTAAGAGCCGCTGGGAGGTACGTTTTAGGAATTTGACTTTCAAGCTTAAAGAATCGCTTTTGTTAATTTACTCTTTTTTATCAATCTATGATATAATTTAAGGGTGATGGTACGTCGTTTTATATGTGTAAACGACAATTAGTTGATGAATGTGATGAATTGCTTATTTTATTGTAGTGGATACTAGCGGACGACTTGCTCCAGGTTTAGGCGCAAAGAAGCGCAAGAAAGTGTATATACCTGTGGACAAGTACCCGGATATTAATTTCATGGGACTTTTAATTGGACCACGTGGTTCTAATCAAAAACGAATGGAAGATGAATCAGGTGCTCGCATTTTGATTCGTGGTAAAGGTTCATCGAAGGATCCAACGGGTGATCCAGATGAGAATGAAGAACTCCATGTGCTTATTACTGCCGATACCGACGAATCTGTGGCTAAGGCTCAAAGTGCCGTGGAAGACATTCTTTTTAATCCACAACAAGCTATGAAATTAAAGCAAGAACAACTTCGTAAAGTCGCGGAATTAAACGGCACGCTTAATGATACTTATAGCGGTCATGAAAATTATGGAAGTGGATTAAATTCAAGTTTGAATAATGATCAATCGTCGTTTGATATGAAAGTTCCGCGGGATTTAGTCGGTTATATCATTGGTCGAGGTGGCGAGACTATTCGAGACTTGCAGATGAAAAGTGGTGCACACATTCAAATTGTCCGCGAAGAAGAGGGTGCACCACAAACAGCAGATCGATTTGTTAACATTACAGGAAATGAGGAAACGCTAGCAAATGCACAGAAATTGATTCAGAATCTCATTGACGAACGACAACAGAATCAAACTGCGGGAGTATTTCGAGAACGGGATGATCAAGACCGCATGGCGCGATATGGAGGCATTAATCCTGATGGAACGGAGTCAGTAGAGATTTTGGTGCCAAATGAACGTGTGGGTCTCATTATTGGACGTGGTGGTTGTACGATCAAAGCAATCCAGCAACGAACAGGAACGAGTGTTACTATCCCGCAGACCCCAGATTCGACCCATCCTGAGATGCGATTAATTACGATTCGTGGAACTGCTGAAGCAAAAGAAGCTGCGCGGTTTGAGATCCAATCGCTGGTTTCTGAGGAGCCAGGACAGCGCTATGGCTATGGAACGGCTGCAGGCTCCACAATTTACATGCAAGTGCCAAACGATCGCGTTGGTGTGATCATTGGTAAGCGTGGTGAAACGATTAAAGGAATACAAGATCGTCACGCGGTCCGAATTCAGATTCCACAGGTAGCCGATCCAGGGTCAAATCCACCTGTACGGACCATTTCAATTCAAGGCCCACCCCAAAGCCTAGCAATTGCAAAAGAAGAAGTAGATATGGTGATACTTCAAGGTGCAGGTGGCCATGGGTACGGCACGGGACAGTACGGAGGGGACAGTACGTACGGACAGACAGGGAGCTATAGCCAACAACAGTATGGTAGCTACGCTGCTCAAAGTCAAGATCAATATGCTGCATACTATCAACAAGATCAACAAGGACAGTACTATCAGGATGCATCAGCGACGGGAGTCGTCGCAGGTGGAGACCAAACAGCGACTGCAACTGCTGACCCTAACGATCCGAACGCATACTGGAATGGATATTATGAATATGCCGCTTATTACGGTGTGGATGCCGCTAATGCAGCATGGGGAGTTACTGGTGCAGCTGCACAGGCAAGTGCAGAAGCGTACCAACAGTATCAGCAACAAGGAGGGTCGACAGCGGGTGAAGCGGCTGTAACGACTGATGGAGCGGTAGCGACGGCCGCAAGCGATATACCTGCGACCACGACAACTGTTGACTCAACAAGCGGAGCTTCTCAGGTTTGTTGTGTGAATGTTTGTGTATGTTTTTGAAAGAGGATTTGCCTCTTGTTTGTTAAGCTTTATGTTTCTGGTCGTCTATGCTCGTCATTCACACAAATCATTGATTGACTATATGGTTTGAGGAGTGACGAGCAGATGACGACGAAGCAGTGGCAAAGCTCTTGGTGATGTGTTGTTGATGATGATATGTTATCTGTCTTGGTGTCTGGTCCTTGTTTTGTTTATTTGCTAATATAGCAGACGCAAGGACCCCCAGGAACAGCGTAAGGCTCGAATGTTTATGCGGTTCACGACTAGATACAAGGAGCAGATATAAAGAAGGAAGATCAGTACACACGAACAGGTGCGGGTTTAACGGAGAGGTAGTATACGCAAAATCTTTCATTTCGAATCCAACGATTATCGCTATTATTGGGGGTGTTCAGTCTTGAAGGTTTTTTAGTCATTTGTCATTGTTACAGGATCGTTTTGTGAGGAAAAGCTTCACTTTACAAACACTGCCAAAATGATTTGAATCCAGTCGTTTACATCGCAAAGTATTCTTTATGAAATAGTTTGACCATTAGAATTTTGGCAGCGCAGACTGGATGAGAAGAGAGAAGAAAGACGACTGGATGCTACAACTGTTTTTGAAGTTATAGCGAATATCTGTTGTCACGCTCGCCTGTGGCGGATAATGACATGGTGTATTTGTATCTGGCATTGCTGTACTTGATGACGAAAGTTCTGGTTTACTGTGCGAGAGACAAATGCGAATTGAATGTGTTGATAAACATCATTTAATGTGCCAGTTTTAGCCAAAATTATGACATCAAAATGGATTCGTGCTGATGTGTTGAGCACAAAATTTTTGTATTATTTAGTTGCCTTTACAACATGAGTGAAGTGGACGCAATGCCATATTTCTACTTTTATATTAGCTGCGCTCTTGTTTATCAAAGTAGATGCTTGTGAGCGTCTTTATGTAGCTGATAGCACAGCCAATCGATACTTTGGCGAAAGAACCATGAGGCTCGTATTCTTACGGGTCTTACGGACCAGGATTGATTGCATGATATTTACGATTCCACAATCTCCCGGTCTCAGACCAAGCTACAAACCACTTGAGCTAGGGATCGGTTGGGATATTGTATCTGAGCGTCCGACTTCATCAGATGATATCATGTATCGCACTCGCTACACACGCGCGTACTCTTTTTTTAAAGTGAATCAAACTGCTCTACGGCCTGGTTCGATACATAGGATTTGATTCTAGGAGGCCAGGGTAGGTCACTGATGTGACGAGCAATCACACTCCTGTGGTGTGACCGCCCTGCCAACCCGCACTCAAATGGTGTGTGATAGGTGGGTGGGAGGAGGCCCTACTGACCGCAAAAAAACATAGTGTAAGGAGCGGTACGGAATTCGGTCCCAAAATGGGTTGGATGGCTACAGCATTTCGCGCTATAGAAAGCTTAATCGTAGCGTGTGGGCTCATAGCTTGAACCTCAGTTACAATAGCTCACCTTAGCTTTTGAAAATGCGGGGATGCACGGCAAGAAAAAAACTATCTTCGTGCTAAGAAATGAACTTCTGTCAAAGTATATCTTTGAAATTCGAAACTCCCAGTGGGCGACGTGCATGGCAACCCCGTTGCACGCAGCCCCATATTTGAAGCGGATTTCCTAGAACACTCTAGGCTTGTCTTCGAAACCCAAGCTGTAGTAGTAAGAAAAACTTTGGAGATAAAAAAGCTCAATCTAGAAGAGGACCTCGCATGTTACGAAATACGACCTTTCGGCATTACCCTTCAGACTTCCACAAAGGCTCAAAGGTACATAAGCTTGTACTGTAGTCGAGGTGTGCATTTAAGCTCTGTAGTGAGTACAGAGCTAAAAATATACAAGGAAGAGAGGTCGGTGAGCCACATGCTCGTGCAACGCTGAAATTTATTGCTCATTTTATAGAAGAGCACCTAGTAATTGTTTGGCCAGCATTGACTCTATCATTGATAAATTTGAGCAAGTGCAAAAATCTAATTTTAGAGGCTCTGCAAGAATTGACAGAGAAGCTCATTTCTATGCCCTTGTCAACGTGGATTCTACGAGTCAAAGATCCCCTGAGCAAGTTGTGAGGCAAGTGTTTCACGATTGGTGCACTTGTCATCATCTAATGACAGAGTATGAATAAGACGGAGCCCTCTGTGGAAATAAAACAGGAAATATCCAGAAGTTTAGCTCAAGATTGTTAATATCCGCTAAAAATGCTTCTTGCTTTAGCTGGTCACGAGAGGAAAGCACGACTCGCGACTCACCATTGCAAGCGTTTACGATTGCCTCAACGCTTTTTTTTATTAGAACAATTTCCTATACTAACTGCCATCGCAGTAATAACCGTGTCTTCTATCAATGCTAGGATATTCAGAAGACTGATATGACAGTTTTATTCTCTGAAAAGAGAGAGGTCTGGCCATGGACGTGGCCCACTTATACCTAAGCAACCGCGCGTCGAAATATCAATCGTTAGACCAGGAGGCTCGCGCGAGAAAGCTGGCAACAATTCATGGTACGAGTAGATATCGCAAGTCTTTATACCGCTCTAGCAAACTTTTACTTTTTATAAAAAAAATATTGAATGTCAAGAGCTCTGATAGCCGGAATGGCATCTGATCCTTCTCGAAAACGGCAACCGTAACCGTATGCTCGTAAATCTGCGTACAGGTGGGGATTAAACTAAACCTTTTCATGTACATCCGGCCAATACCTTTGAAAAAGCAGTGAATGCCGCATTAAATGCAATCACATATGAATTGGTTGGAATGTTGAAGATGGCGGCTCTATGTGCACCAACGGCGATGGATCCCAGCCAATATGAGCATGGAAAAGTGATATCGAGGCTATAAGGTAGAATCATGGAAATTAAAGATGCTGCGCTTTTGGAATTTTAAGTCATTTACACCTTGAAAGCCCCCTTCGCTCGCAGCTAAGAGGTGCTAAAGGGTCGGACTCCCGATCCATTGCCACCTTCGTGAAGATGTCGCATCCAGACGGCACAGGGAGTCTTACGTGGCAAAAAATTGGCTCTTATGGCCTGGCCGGAACTTTAAGCTGTGAATTGACCGAAAGTTAAAACATATGGTGCTGCGCAATCTCTTCTAGTTGAGTTTCGGTGAGCTACGAAAACGATTTTGCTAATACAAAAGCGTTTTTGGTACCAGCATGAAGCTTCATTGTTTTTGGCGCGCCATATATTGTTGTACTGGATAAATCGCAATGATACTAATGGGGACTACGAGCAAAGATGAATAGGCAAATGCAGCTGTGAAACGCGGTCTCCAGGCATATACCCGATCAAGATGAAAGAATGCGACAGAGTGTCGTGTTCTTTAGGTTTTACCTGGTCAAGGTAGAAGAAAGCGATCAAATGTCGTAGACTCCGATAAAGACCATATTCGAGACAAATTAAGATAGATTTTCCATACGCTATCTATGCTGGGATAAACGAAAGCGGTTGTATGTAACGCCAGTCTCCTGATGACATAGGCTACGATGAATCCTGTGTTGTCCTAGACGCTACCAACGATAAATTATCTAGCTGAGTCAGCAAATTCAAGTGACGCGCTCCCGTGCAAAGCGTTACATCTCAACATTGTGAGGCAAAAAATTGTATAGCCTCGTTATCCAAGTGTGGTGAATCAAAAATCTATCAGTTTTTCAGGGCATTGATTAAATCGTATAAAGTCAAGTATTTAAGTAACATTTAGCTGGTAACCTTATTAGTGATAATAAAAAGTAGTTTAAGTAATAGGTGTTTTAAATAATTTCGCCTGAAGCAAAATCGCTTGTCTTTGATGGCAAAGCCAGGCTTGCTTTGAGCCATACTTTTCGTCATGGTTTAGTCCGTCATTGAAAATACCCAAGTAAATACAAGAAATAAATCAACTATGCTCGCGTATTCTACAGACCCTTGTAACTTCTTTGCTAAGAAAAATCGATGGGGTGACATACAATAGGATATTTCTAGGGCATATTGCGACCACAACGATGTTTTCATCTTACAAAGTTAGGCAAGTCGAAGCTTTTTTTGCCTTTGATAAACCAAGAGCTCTGCACGAACAAACAAAAATGTTCTTAGAACAGCATGGCAGGGTTTATCCTGTTCATGCGCTCTCGCACTGGTCGATGAGTATTACCAGCTTCTCATGCAATAAAGTATTTCGCACTGTGGTAAGCAGTCAAGCGTGAAGCTTTCGAATCTGCTGGTTGTGAACCAGGATACATTCAAATTCTTGTAACGCTGACGTTTGGGACTTCGTGGACTTACACATACCTATTCCAAAACATAGACCGGACATGGTTGTCCACTGCAAGGCGAATGTTGACATTTATTTCGAGTACTTTCAAGCTACGTACAAGTGTGATACGCTTTAAAAAAGCTAATTTACAATATTGACCATTATTACTTTGGGCAACCGAGACACGATCTGAGGTAGATACATTGAGAAGTCCGGTTTTTGGCGGATCTTTCAAACATCAAGGCCTAGTAAATTGACCGGTGCGCCATCCCAACCGTTTTATAATAGTGGCTAGACCTAGCCAAGCATTGAGTGCATACCAAACCAATCGTCCTCAAAACGCTTATATTAAATGGTTATGGAATGAACAAAAGATGTGACCTTCCAGTTGCTATCAAATAAATTTATTGGAGCTCTTGTCATTTTCTTTTCGAATCCTGTCACGCCATTCTCAGTGGTGTTGTCATATAGAAACACTGGGTTCATAAAGTCTGGTTCAATATTCTTTCTTATCTATCGTATTCTTATTGATAAATTGCCCGAGGCTAGCAGACCGCGTATCCCGCACACAACACCGCTCTATCTCGAATCGAATGCTTGACCTAATATCTTGGGGCTTCAATTCGGTGGTTGAGCTTTGTTGTAATTTGGAAAACAATAGTGTTATGTGTAGGTACATTACAACAAAGGTGACCCTTTTACTGCCTTCTCACCACGACGTGACTATCGTTGTAATCGCAAACCGTATGAACTTCCTAAGGAGGGATTTGACGCACTTTGAAATGGGTTTACTAGCACAAACAACGCCGGGAATCGCTTCCAAACTATTTTTTCAAAGCGCATGCTTGACGCAAGAAGTACTTTCACGTATTCGACACTATGAAAGTCTCATTTGGTGCGTTAGATAATGTTTTTTTTTATAGTCATAGTGACTCACTGAGTTCCGTCGCACAACTGCTGTCTTCTCTATAGGCTATGCGGGCTTAATTTTCTTTGTCAAGCCTAACTGGTTAAATGCTCAAGCTTATAGTCGAGTTAGCTGTACTTTTAAAGTCCGTTCGCCAAAGTGCGATAAGACGCGTCTTCAGGGAGATCACAGCTTATTACAAATGAGCACATCCTCAGTCCATGGGGCTCAAACGACAGAATCATGTCGTGATTGTGGCTTTGAATGGCCCGAATCGATGGAGTTGTACGCCGAGTCACAGTGCAGCCCTTGAAAAATGGTCTGCAGTTCAGTCTAGAAGGAATCACATACGCAAGATTCGTTGCGTATGAGCTTTCAGACCTATAACTCCTCAGGGGTACCGCATACTGTCGGAGTAGTAACAGCGGAGCCAGTCGGCACTCACTTCCAGGGCATTTCTCTGGTACTGGGACTGGGGTCTGGCAACGGTGCCGAAAATTATACGACTCATATCGATCATTGTGAGGAGATGGGTCGCTCCCTTATTTTTCAGCTTTGTAAGCCAGCTGAAACGAAATTCCAGCTAAAAAGCTGCTTGATGCTTGATATTGCGAGGTCCAAATCTTGATATCAAGTCGTGGAAGGTACTCGCCCTCGTGCAAACTAAATATGAATTTAAACTTGTTTTTGCCCACAAGCATTCTGATTAATCTCGAAGCTGACACAATACCGGACTCCACTTGCTAGTAGAAACGAAATATACAACACGATTATGTCTTTCGCCCAGGGAGGGCGATGACTGTGGGGCGCCTTGTAATAACTGTCAACGACGCCTGACTTGCCGGAGTGAAAATTCACATTCCCACCAGTTCTAAGAATGAGGATGGTCCTTCCAATGTCAGAAATTATATCTCCGCTATCAAGGAGACGCCAACCATGGAGTAAATGTCTTATGCCTTTCTCATTAAGTATTACTAAACGCTCGCTTGGACAGATCTTCCGAGAAATTGCGGCACCCTGAGAATAAGAGAACTGACTATCTGGAGTAGAGTGGTCGGTAGCTCATCTACAGGTGTAAGTTCGGACGCTACTCCGTTGTATCACTCAAAGAGCGACGATTCAATATACTTTGAGTAGCCCACATAGAACACGGTTGTGTTCGCCATTCACTTCATGTGGTCAAGTTGTTTTTATCGCACGACCGTAAAGATACAATGTGGTGAGGGTTCAACCTTCCGTCTTAGTAATTGCATACCTCGCTTTCATAACTGATTGATTGTGCTCAAAAGAGCGTTGTCTGTCATTTCTTCTCATGTGTCGTCATCCCCATTCTTTATCTGCCTGTTGTGTATGCCTGCTTTGGCTTTCATCTGGCGTAAGGTACATGACGCATGATGCTTAATCTTATTGATTCAAGTCTCATGTATATTTGAAGCTTCCGGCTAGGCTGACAGCAAATTGGCAACACGATTAGCCACCCCAGCCTAATTCGAAACCACTTTATGAAAGCACTAGATCTACTTGAAACTGTTTTAATGATGATTTTTTTGTAAGTGTGTAGTTATACTGCTGGTGAGTACGCTGAGCTACAAGCCAGCCGATTTCCAGCTTCGGGACTAGCTGTGTCAGCATTCTCGAGGCTACAAGTACGGCCGAATTCAGCATGAAAATTCCAAGAGGGTGAGTACCCACCGCAGCGTTGATGTCGCACTCCGCAACGTCACGCATCAAGCAACGTTCAAGTCGGAAACTGTTTAAACCGGCTCGCATTGTCACCCGATGTCAATTCCAGAGGTACAGTCCTTAAAGGAAGAACCGACTGCTGTCTACTGGGCCAGCTGAATGCGGTATTGTGACCTCTGTGGGGTCGAGATACTCACAAAGCAAAGCTCGCGTATATATCTTTCTCCCGGACTGAGCTGCAGGCCCTTTGCTAAGTACTAAGCCGACATTTTCTGTCACATTAAGTCAAAAAGCACATTCCACAATGTGATATTGTCGGTAGCGTTCTTAATTTAAATTATTGTAGCTTGTGCACTCATCATTAGGTAAGTTAAGCTATTGAGCTAGATGTAGTTTATTCGTAATGACACCAGCCTCAATGTCTCTTGCTTCGAAAGAACAGTCGTGGTGTGCACAGGCATATACATATACGAGATGTTAGGGTGTAATATAGGCTTTGATTTTGAGGAGCAGCAAGGCTTTGGTAGTACATGTGGCGAATTGGAAAACGTTCAATGATTTTACAGTTCTCATTAGAGAAATACTTGCTTTCCTTACATCGGAAAGTCTCAACGTTGTCCGCCACATAGGTTGTCCTTCCTGGTGGCTTCCAAGCCATGCACATTGATAAGAGATCAATGGAGCGGCATTGGTTTCAGAATTCACACTGAGGTAATCTAGATGCAATTTTCGGGACAATAGTTACAACGAAGTTAACTGATAACTCACTGGAAATCATGGACTGATGGGGGAATACGTGATTTGTTATGGGTTGGGTACACTACTTTTTTGCTCGCATGTAGAGAAAACTTGAAGGTTTTGAGTCTAGTATTATTGTTGTAAACCATTTGAGTTTCGTAGTAGTCAGTCCAAATATATTACTGTTTATTTTAACCCGAGATCATCTGTGTATCGTGTCCTAGGAATCGTCTTTTGGATGCACCCTTTGTGCAAAGTGTCACTGCTATCCTGTTGCATTACACGCCTTTGGTCGAATAATAAACCACTGGGTATCGATTTCTCGATCGAAAAATTCAAGGTCTCAGACGTATATGATCGTGAGATATGTTCCTGAATAGAGATCAAATATCTACCTCTACGGGCGTCTAACCGCTGGTTTAAATGGATTTGTAGTGTGCCTTCAATTGACCATAATTTCTTAGCTCTTCCACGAAATCTCAGTATGTCTCTCGTTCGATTAAAAAGAGCAAAAGTGCCACTACAATATCCTTAAAGCCCACCTTTCAAATTCTCTATAATGCTAATACATCAAGATGTCAAGTGAATAGCATGCAATGAAAACTGTCGTTGTTCACATCGCGACATATCGTAACATTCTCTGCATTAGACATTCAATAATTCTATCGAATTGAGCTTCAAATCAATGCTTATATTGTAATAACAAATGTAATAGCTACAAGCGACTCTGTCAAAGGCTTCTACATAAAGTAGGTCACGACAGCCATAGCACCAAGCGACATCACACCCAGCGCCCGGGCAACAGGCGATGCAGCAGCTCGAGAGCCCGCCGAGGTTTCAGTTGTAGCAGGAGTATCTTCAGGTGTCGGTGTCGAATCATCTGTGTCAGTTGTCACATCAGTTGTAGGAGTATTGACGGGTGCAGGAGTCGTGGAGTTGCTGGGTGGCAATAATGTGGTTTGGTCAGCCGTTGAGCTGTTGTTTCCAATCGGCGTAGTTGAGTTGTTCGCGACAGGTATAGCTGTACTGTTCCCACCCTGGGTAGAATTGTTATTACTACTGACAGGGTTAGCAGTGTTCTGTCGAGCATCGTCGTTGGAATCGCTACATTCCGTTTGTACATATTGAAGAAGGTTTCTTTGAAGAAGAATACCCGAGGAGAGAGTGCATTCAGGAATGTTCAGCGCTTGAGCAGCCTGTAGCAGATTCAAACAGGGCGTTGAATCACACATGAGATCGACTTGGTCATCCGTTGGGATTGGGAGAGTCGTGAACGAATACCCCGATGCGGTTGAGCAATCGGCTAAAAATGGACTCGTAAGCAATCCATTCAAAGCGGAAATCTGGCATGGAGGAGCGGAATTTGTCGCTGACATGATAGTTGATTGGAGTTGATGGTGGTGGTCTGGGAAATTGCAGAATGTTGTGATATGAAGTCAAACGTATTTGATGTACTGTATATCTGAAATCCCGCATGGAATCCAATCTACTGTCCAGATGGTGAGCATCTGGAATCTCGCCACTTCTTTTCTCATCCATCTTGCTATTATATAATACGCTAGATATCGAATACATAAGAACGTGAGTAGAGAAGTTGGAAGGTGAATGATTGCCATATTTTTCTTGTAAAAGATGTATCTGCATTATGCTGCTTTTGGAGTGTAACAAGGGTATTCTTATATAATAAATTCAAGTTTAGATATAACAGAGAAAATGTGAGCTTTTATGCCGATTCTAATCGCAGCTTAAACAGTTGAAAATTAAGATCGCATATGAGTTCCATCGAGTCTTTAATGCCACAAGCCACAATGCTAGTCTTGGAGCTGTCGGGGCTATAGCACGGCAGAAAAATCCGGCAGCGAGTAACCTATGATTGCTTGAGCAAAAGGACGATGTGGTGCATCATTGAGGAAAAGGTTATCATTATTCTTAATATGCACCGCATAGATTATACGTACCCCTCTGGATCTAACAAAAAAATTCAGCACCATGCGACAAAAACAATCCAGCTGGTCTATCTGGTCGGTGCCTTCATCAGATTAATCTTAATATTTAGCAAGGTGGCATGGTGT